AAAAAGTGGGGATGTGGTCTCAATGGAAATATAATCGTGGACGTTTTTTGAATGTCCAGTATTCGACGTCGAAATATATTCCAGAATTGGACGTCCTCTGAATGGTCAAAAGTGTGCCATTTGTATACTTCACTGGACGTCCATTGGATGTCGGAAGTCCAGAAAACTCATTTTTGGACGTCTAGACATCCAAAGTTGTATATGTAATGGAGTCCAATGGACATATTTGTATTGTCTGGGTGATAGCCAGGCCAGGTATTTAACTCTAAATACATAAACCTTAAATGACATCTGGTTTAACTTGGCGAGAAAACACTTGTTTCTACAGAAATGAGCGATAAACTTGAAAGTCCTTTTAATATAATATAAATCTAGAAATTCTAAAAATATGTAAGTACTTTTTAAACCTAAAAACTTTGAAAATATATGCACATTGCAAATATTTAGTTAAACCTCTCAAACTTAATGTCTTTTTAATTGTTACCTAAATTTTTTTTGGCACCCTTAATTTTATTTACCTTATTTTTACTTAAGGAAAAGGTAATTTAAACATGGACCTTTTATTACATTTTTAACAATAAATAAACCAAATATTAAACAAATTTTATAGACAAATTATAAAATAATAAACGTCTTTTACTTTTATAACAAATAATTAATTATTACATAATGAATTATATTTTGGTGCCGAAATTTCACCATTGCTATTAAACCACTACTTCAATGTAATTAAATTACATTGCAACATTTGCGCATGGACTATAACAATAATTTCAGATAATTTGTCAAACTGTTTCGCTCAGTGTAGAAAATAAGCATGTTTTCTCAGCGTGCTAAGTTGTGTATCAATCAAAGTCATGCTGTGAAAAAGGTACGTCCGATATCAAAGGCACCGACAGCTACTGTCGCTTCTCCTTGATCGGTATTCTCGGGTTAGTGCCATCTGGGGGGCTATCCTCGACAATCGTTAAAAAAACGAATCGTTTTCGAAAGTGAGTGGTTGAAAAGCGAGTAGTTTTTGAAATCTATATTCTTGACTGGCGTTCGATGAGCATTCGCTTTTTAAAACGTGTACGTTTTTAACAAGCAAATAATATGTCTGGCATCACTGTAAACTGTCTATATCGCTGAATTCAAGTAATGTGCAGGCCATAAAAAATAAGGATTATGTAATTTAATTACAACAAACCAATTGTAAATTTATCGAATGATGATTTTGTTTAATCACATAATATATCAATGTTCAGGATAAACTAAATCGTTACTTTTTGGCGGAAAATAGCTATAGGGGTGCAGTCAATGCAAGCTATAATTCTAGGAAAATCGTACGTCATAAAAACCTACTTTTTATGGTACAAAATTAATTTAAATAATAACTTTACTTATCTCATTCAGTTCTTTAATACTTGTGGCAATTTTACAAAATTGTTAAAATTTCTGGACACAACGTGTGACTAACTAACTACCACTTGCAAGAAACCGCAAGCAAATAAAACATACATGAATTAATAATTAAATTCTTACACGGTAAGATATAAAAAATATTCATTCAATAGCCATTAAATTCAAAAAATGGATTCTGAATCTTTCATCATTCTTATCTTCCAAGTTTTCTAATTGTACTAATTATTGTATTAATAATAAATGAAAGAAATTTTCAGCTATTAGACTTTTTTTAGTATGTACTGCAAACCATATTTGTAAGAAATTAGATACTTTTGTATTAATATTAATAAAAAGTAGAATTTGTTAAAATCAATCATCCTAAAAGTGACATATAAGTGACATTGACTAAATCCTTGAAAACATGCACGTTTTATCAAAAACGTGTAAAAAATTCTGCTCGCTGTAAAACACCCGTTTTTAAAACGTACATGCTTTTAAAACGAATGTCGAGAATAGCGAATAGTTTGTATATTGCTAAAGCGTATACGTTTTTCAGAAAACGATAGCCGAGGATAGGGCCCCTGGCCATGACCATACTAATTGGGAGATGATACAACAGAGGGCGCCATCTGTCAGTAGCGAACTAAGACTAGGTAAATAAAGAGATAATTCATAACGCCGCAGGAAATCGTGTTCAATTCTGTAACCAATGCTATTCGACCAGAGGCGTAACACGTTGGAAGTAAAAAAATTAACTTTTATTTATGTTATTAGTGCTTTATTGATCTTTTTAGGTGTAAAGCAAGTTCAAAGCGTAAAAATTAAAATAAATGAAGAACAATAATAAGACACAAGAAAAATATATATACAGGGTGCGCCACACTCAACGGGAATGGTGCCTGGTGAGTAAACTGCAAACGATATTAAAAATTCCTTTGGCACAAAAAATATACAACTCAACGGCGGCTACAATTAAAATTAGTTTCATATATACAGGGTGTCCCACACCAGAATACCAATGTAAATGTAATTTTTTTAAATGGGATACGCTGTATTTTCTTTAAATTTTAGGTAAAACTCTTAAAAATAATCTTAGTGTATCCAGTTCAACATCAAGTGAAACTTTCACAGACAAGAGATTATCATCATATCCGAGAGTCAAGCAGCCATCAAAGAGCTGAGCTCTCACGTAATCAGTTAAAAAATTGTCTGGGATGCCTAAAAAACTGAATGAGCTATGCAAGAAAAATACTCACACTTGGGTTCCGGGACATAACGGGATAAAGGGTAACGAGATTGCAGATAGTCTCGCAAGGAAAGGGTCTTAGACACCCTTTGTGGGACCTGAGCTGTTCTGCGGTATCAGCAGTAACACCATATTGGGAGAGATTGAAAAAGAATTGGGCAGTAAAAGAACCGATAATTGAAACAATCTCTTGGGGTTAAGACAAGTTAAAATACTTCTGGGTGAATATAACTAGTAAAGATCGGAAGCCTGTATCAGCCTGAGCAAGTACATGCTACGCATTGTAACATGTATCCTTACTGGGCATGGCCGACTCAAAGGACACCTTAATAAACTGAGAGTAGAAGAAAATAGTGAGTGCAGATTCTGTGAGAAGGATGAAACCTGCATGCACATTCTGCTTGAATGTGTAGCACTCCAATATCGCAAACTATACTTACCAAATAAAAGAGGTCGATCTATCTAACTTGCAGTAAATAACAACAAAAAATATGCGGGCTTTAATTTTTTTAGTATTGGATGGATTTTGACTAAATGTGATCTGCTAATAATGATTAAGTTATTATTTGCGCCCTTTTGGAATTTTTTGAATTTAATTCAACGAATCTTGTGAATCTGTCATTCGGTGCAACATCAAAAAATCGATGGTGAGCTAAAGGGTTGCGTGATACGTCAAATAAAACGGTAAAATAAAACGTGAGAATCACGTATTGAAAGCTAGATTGAACAACAGTTATTTATAACCGCCAGAAACCGATAAAAAATATTTAAAATTCACGTAAACCTAAAAAGAATGGCTAATTCGAAATTTAGAAGGCGCATAGTATTCAAAAGCATAAACATCTTACATACCGTAAAACCTTACAACTTTGCCCAGAGGCCACAATTTTTTCCCAGACGTAAGGTCGTAAACTATATTTTTTATATAACTTTGGCAAAACTGTATAAGTGTCCTAATGGTCGCGAACGCTTCTAAGCAAGTTACTTTCGTGTTCAGTACTGTTTCTAATGTGTACAAAGTAGGCTGCTCTTAGGAATCAGGTAAGGAAATTGACATAGATTGTTAACGGTTTTTAACATGAAAAGCTAAGGTATGCTCTAGGCTCTAGGGCTGAAAAGACAAACTTAAGCGACAATCCTGGTACTCAGAAATGCATTTTTCGTAGAGGAACCAAATATCCTGAGAGGTATATGAATTCCACCAAAAGTGTCGTTTCTCTTATGTTTGCTGCAACAACCACCGGTGAACTTTTACCTTTATACGTTGTGTATAAGTCAGAGCGTCTTTACGATAGATGGGTATCTGGAGGACCACCACAAACACTTTATAATAGAAGCAAGTCAGGGTGGTTTGACTCAGGCACTTTCGAAGACTGGTTCCAGAATATAATTGTCCCTTGGGCAAAAAAGGACAATAATTGTCCAAAAGTGGTAATTGGAGACAATTTATCTTCACACATCAATGTTAATATTCTTCGAGCCTGTCAAAGACTTAACATCAGATTTGTATTTCTGCCAACGAATTCGACGCAAATTATCCAGCCGTTGGATGTTAGTTTATTCAGGCCAGTGAAGCAAGCTTGGAGGTCCTTATTAACATTCAATCCTCACGAAGTTTTAAAAAAGATGCCAAACAAAAGATTTGAACAACACGTTGCGGGAGAGATCGACACTGCGTGTTATCTCAAACAACGAAAAAGTAATCATGGTGAAACTTTAAGAAAAGGAAAGAAAACAACATTAAAAACAAAACTGAAGAATCGGTCAGATTTGAGGATCTAGGTAATAAAGAAAATGAAACAGACGAAAATGGAATTGAAGAAGAAAAAATTGAAATGTTCGAAGAGGAGTCAGAAGCGCATACATCAACCAAAGCCAATATTCAAGACGATGATGAAGAATAACTAATCGAAGCAGAGGCAGAAGCAGGCAAATGTGTACCTGAACCTAATAACGAATTTAGCCCATATGATCTAGAAGAAGGAAGATATGTTGTTGTTCTGCAACAAAAAAGACCATAAAGCACTTCATTCGCAAAATTTTGTCGGTGTCTGATGCTGACGACACTTACACTATAAAATTTTTAAGAAAAAACGAAAGTTACTATATTTACCCCAATAATTGTGATGATGTATGTGATATAACTTTTTTCGATATAGAAATGATACTTAATGAGCCTGAGATAAAAAGAGGTTGACAATTTTTTAATGAAAACCTCGAAAGATTCAAACTTTAGACTGAATATTACCTAACAAAAATATTTTTATTTTGTAAATTTTTTTATAGGAATTTTTTTAAAGTTAAAATTTGTTTTTTTTTTTAACAGTGAAACTGTAACCTAGTTTTAAGTTTTTCTAAGAAAAACCTTTTAATGTATACTTACTGCAGGTACCTCCTTATAATCCAAATCTATAATTGAAAACAGTGAAAAAGAAAGAGGTCTAGAACATTGTCTTAACATCATCAGTAATGCTTTTTTGCTGCGATTGTCCCAATTGTACCAATCAGTATTATAAATCGTCTGACAGATTTTTCCTAACTTAAAAAGTTAATTTTATTCTAAATATGTCAATCTGTATACCACCTACTTACTGCGTCTTTTATTTCTTGTCCAGCTTGAAAAAATTTTCCAGTAATGTAAAGTGTGAACATTAGAGTTATAACGAATCTGAAATTGCTTCTGGGACTAATTTCCTAAAAGCAAAATCCGCAGAGTTCTCGAAATGTAATTTATTATATTCAAAAAATAACTATTACTTACCGCTAGAATAAAATACACCGACGAAATTTGTAAGAAAACTGTTTCTGTAAGTAATATTGGTAAAACAGCTCCACGTTTTGGATGGCCTATTAAAAGATATTCGGACAATCTGTAAAAAAGATATTTAATTAGAAAAGGCAGTAAATTTAATGAAATTTTAACATCAATTGATTAATTGATCAGAACAACGACGAACAACTACTAGAGCCTTTTTTTTTATATATATAAAATGCTAATTCCACACATTTATGTTGTAATCCTAGGTATTTCTGGTTATAATTCGGAATTTACTCAACAAAAGGTTATCAAAATTACATTAAGGAAGTGTATTTGCATTTTTAATGGCAGTTATTTTAGAAAAGTGCGCCATTTATTTTGCAGTGTGCAACAGTAGTCGCGAACGCCATCACCACTCAATTTAGTATGGCGTCACGCTCCTTCTAATGGGTCAGCCGGAGCAACAGCTCTCTCTCCTTTTTCTGTTGCTTTTTCTATATGGCTGCAGAAACTATGGTATTAATTTAGTTACAATTGTGAAAATACTCTACATTAAGATCTAAAAGTTGTGGCCACCAACGATTTTTTGTTGGATATAGAGCAGGAAAATGTACAACACAACCTATTGGAATAAATACTATTGGTACTGTTCCAAGATTAATTGCCGAATTTCTTGAACTGCCCAATTCAAAGCAGTATACAGGGCATTGTTTACGGCGTTCTTCAACTTCAATTTTAGTCGACTCTGGTGCAGATATTCTAAATATTAAAAGACATGGCGGCTGGAAGTCTAATTCTGTCGCTGAAGGATATATTGAGACTTCGGCAGAAAATAATAAAAAAACAGCTATGAAAATCTTAGGAGAAAACCAAGAAAATATACCATCCACTTAAAAACATATGGAAACTAATATTTGCAATTATTGGGCATCGGGCATGTCTGCATCTGGCATGAATTTGTAGATTGCAAGGATAGAGAAAACCAAGAAAATATACCATCGACTTTAAAACATATGGAAACTAATATTTGCAATTATCGGGCATCGGGCATGTCTGCATCTGGCATGAATTTGTACGATTGCAAGGATTATATTATAAATATCTATGACAAATAATTTTTTTATATTGAGTTCATTATTAATGTTATATTTGTTCTGTTTTGTTAAATAAATGATTAATTTTGATTACCTATTAGTTCTGCATCATTACCGCACTAGTGCGGTAATATACGTCATTACAAAATTTAAATAAGTGTCAAATCAGTGTTATTACATGACAGTTGTAGATGAAAGAAATATAAACCCTAGCCACTCCAAGCTAACTTAAAGGTTTGTTCCAACACAATAGCAAATCGGTTTACGTACTGCCGAAATTCTGCGGAGTCTAGATTTGGTGTTCCAACAAACTGTACAAAAACCGAGTGTTCCAACACACTCAAACCTAATCACAAACCAGGACAGGGATTCTTATGTGCGTACTCAACACATAACGAATTGAGTAGAGAGAGAGAGACATTACATACGAATCGCATTCTGTAGAACGAAGACAGTTGTCTCAACACGTGCCGAATTAAGAGATGAGAATCCCAATGCAGTTTTTGTACTGTCAAATCAGTTTCTGGGTCTGAATATGAACGAATTGTCAAGACATGAGCAAAACGAAAGTGTGCTCGTAAATAAACCACGACCAACTCTGGACATTTTTTGATTATATTTGTTTTGATAGCATCAATCGTAGTCTTGATCCAAGGATTATATTACTGTTATCGATCGTAATTTGGTTTTCATTAATTATCATTATTTATTAACAGACTTCAAAAAAGGAGGAAGTTCTCAATTCATCACAATATGTTTTTTTTATGTATGTTCAGCGATAATTCTTTAACACGGTGCCCGATTTCAATGATTCTTTTTTGTTAGTAAGGGGGTACCTCAGGGGTAGTCCCATATAAATTTGATTAAGATGTGGTGATGGCATCTGCACGTTTTTGAAGTAGGTTTTTTTAAATTTTTATAGTCTATTATTGTATACGTGTATCTGTTAACTTATAATGAGTAATGGAGTAAAGACAGTTAAACGGACTATTACCTATTCTGATTTAAATAGTACAAAACTAAATTAAATAAAGTTTAATGTACTAACCAATCAAACAATCAAAATTTTTACAAATATTTTAATGTTTTATAACTTTTTCTTTTCCCAATTCAAAATTTAACATTTGATAAGTTTGCTTTGACTTTGACGTTAACAGAGTATGTCTGACAACACAAAAATGTGTTTCAACACATCCAAATTCCGGAGCGTGTCCCAATCCTCGACAGGTCCCAAGATTGTTGTTGGAACAAACCTTATAAAATTCTAATAATTTCAAACAAATAGCAGGAACGGGAAGAGACGTTTAAATGCGCATGTGCTGATAAATTGTACAAGCGATGAAGCTCTGATCGTTTTGGAACGTTTTACTGACAGTTGACCGGATTATCCATGGCTTTGTAGGTACGGACTATTTTCAATGCGCAAGCGTCTGACGTCCTTCTGATGATCAGATTTGCTGTTGGAACAAACCTTATCTGTATCTGAGAATTACTTATTAACAAACTGTACTTTAAAGCACAAATTTATTGTGTGTTTAATGAATTTAGTCTGATAGTTGTTAGTCGTTGGTACAGAACCATACTTACTTTGTTAAATTGATATGACTTTTAATACAATCAACAATATTTTTATAATTAAGTTCAAAATTAAACTCATCTTTTAAATTTTCTATTTTTTCATTTAAGATCATGTACTGATAATAAACCACTTTATTCCTTTTAATTAGCATAAGTGGGAACTCTAATGCGTAATATCCAAATAGATTTACGGTATACGTATCATACCAATACAGCAATTGTCGAATAAATCCACTAGTATAATCAGTTATTAATCGTCTCGAAATATATATATCATATTCGTCTCCCATAATTGGGGTAAAAGTTAAAATTCCAAACGAAGTCAATATATGGGCAAAGAAGGCAGACATTTTTTCTAATTTTATTTTTTTCTTTATTTTCGATTGCAATTTCTTACTTGCTTTATGAATAGGCATGCCATATTGACCAACCACATCTTTATCATCGAAATAGTCATTAAATATAACTTGGAAATAAGTACAAGTCAGGCCCTAAAAGTTTTTAAATATAGTCTGTAAATTTAGTTGAAGCAATAATTAGTAAAAAAAAATAGTATTTTGTATGAAACGTTTAATATGATAAGAAAAGCACCAGAAAAGCAGAAAATAGGACCTTAAATATCAATACCACTGAGCATGCATAGAAGAAAGTTAAATTCATAATCATTAGTTCTAATTACAAATATACAGGGGGATTTTTTGAAAAGGATCCACCCTCGATAACTTCGTTCTCGTCTTGATTCAGGTAAAATCCAAAAACAGGTCAATTTTTATCCTTAGGGGGACACATTTTTAGATCACAACTGATTTTGTCAGATCAACCCCATGGCCCCACCAGTTCCCACCTCAAAAACCTTCAATAGCAAGGGGGCCGAGTGACCCCTCGTTGGAAAGGTTTTTGCATTTACCATACGACCATGTAAGAATTATTTCGTTTTGTACAGGGTGGTTCAAGAAAAGAGGCAAATTGCAATAAATAGATTTACATTTCGCTTTAATTGGTTAATTTTTGGAATAAAAATCGTATTAATTGTTTACAAAACGGGAAGAAGCAGATTAGAGTGAAAGGAAGCAAAATCACAACAAGTGCTCAAAATGACCACCGTTATTCTCCATGCAGTAGTAAAGGCGGTTTTCAAATTCCTCTCTCACCCGTTGAAAGGTTTCTCTAGGGATTCTTCTGCATGCGTCAGTTTTTCGTTGTCGCAACTCCACTAAATCTGCTGTTTGAGTTTTGAAGATCCAATGATGCGTAAATCACGGATTCAGCCAGTTCCAAACATTCACAGCGAAGTGAGGTGGGGCTCCATCTTGCTGAAAAAAAGCTAATTTTCTTCAAGTACAAGATTTCCATCTTGACCCCGCTGATTTTCAACTTCAACCGTTATCAAGGGATCTATGATATCCTCCAGCAGCTCTAAATATAACTCGCCAGTCAAAGTCTCATTAATGAAAATCGGACCGACTACCGCATCGCCTAGTATTCCTGCCCATACATTTAATTTCTGAAGAGCTTGAGTATGCCCCTCTCTAAAAATGTGAGGATTCTCATCACTCCAATATCGGACATTCTGTTTATTGACTGCGCCATGCAGATAAAAACTACATTCGTCACTAAAGCAAATGTTTTTTATGAGGTTTGGGTTTGCGTTTATCATTTCCGTCATAATTTCGCAAAACTGTAATCTCCTATCAGGATCATCGTTCACACAAGCTCTTGAAGTATCTTCATTTTATAGGGATGGAATTTAAAAAGTTTTGTCACTTTGCGTACCGATGAATACGAAAGTCCAGTGGTCGTAGCAATCTGACGCAAAGAACTGGTTGGATCGAAAGTAAAGTTCCCCACCACTTCAATCTGAGCCATTTCATTAACTATTCTGTTACCTTCTCTCTTCATATTTTTCACTGATCCTGTTGCTTGAAACTTCCGCACAAGATGCGTGACATATTTGTGCTCCATTCGCTTATCTGGATGTCTCGCATTAAAAACTCTGGCAGTGGCGCGGGCACAATTCTGCTCCTCACCATAAATGAAAATAACTTCTATCCGCTCGGCAATAGTGTAAACCATTTTACAGGGAATAAATCAATTGACATACCAACTGACTGCAAACTACTTCGATTAAATCTAATCCGTCAAAACGGCTTGCAAAGATGCGCAAAAAATTGCAGATAAAAATGCATACAAAAAGAGCGATAGCGCAATATCACTCATCAACCGTCTTCAAAAACTGAAGCAAAAAATTTAAGTGAATTTACGACAGGAGATAAATTGTTGAATGAGGAAGGATTCCTATTATTCTCAACGGTGGTCATTTTAAGAATCTATCATGATGTATGTAATTTAAGTCTATTTATTGCAATTTGTCTTTTTTCTTGAACAACCCTGTTCCAAACGAAATAATTCTTACATGGTCGTATGGTAAATGCAAAAACCTTTCCAACGAGGGGTCACTCGGCCCCCCTTACTATTGAAGGTTTTTAAGGTGGGGGCTGGTGGGGCCATGGGGTTGATCCGACAAAATCAGTTGTGATTTAAAAATGTGTCCCCCTAAGGGTAAAAATTGACCTGTTTTTTGGAATTTACCTGAATCAAGACGAGAACGAAGTTATCGAGGGTGGATCCTTTTCAAAAAATCACCCTGTATATTATAATATATTTATAACATAAAAAATAAATAAGTTTGATATAAAAAAATATTTACTATATTCCTATATAGTATTAACACCCCCTGAGACTCAATTCTCGACTTTTATTCCCATGGGAAGATGAAATTTTCTCATGAGAATTCAGTTTTCGTATTCTCGACATAAGCGGTGGAATATTTTCCAATCAGAAGTATGGGAATATATTCTCCTGATTACGAGCATTGGAAATTGTGTTTTCAAATAGGAATTGTGCATTAAAGTCGAAAATTTTACCACTTATCAAAAGTACATGCTGACAAAAAAAGTTTATCATCAGAAAAGGCCATCCATAAGATCGATGTTTGCGTCATCATCTATGCAAGACGGTTTACGAGAGTCCTATCTGTATCTGTAACGTGTGGAGGGTGGGTTACCCCCACGGCACTGAGGCCTCATTAGGCCCATTGTGCATCCTCCTGAGATGATAGGCACCTCCTAGCTCGTGAGCCACACTACAGATTTTATGTAGTTGACAATGTCGCCAAGAGGTGCTTCTCTTATATCGGCCGGTGTTAGCCGATACCCGTCGAACACAAATCTTCTAATAAATGAGAGCGTCGAGCAGTCGTAAAGGATATGCTTGATGGTCTCATCTTCTTGTTCGCACCCTCTGCAGAGTGCGGATTCTAACAACTCCATGATATGGAGATGCTTTCGTACTTGGCAATGACCAGTCATAATGCCTGTGACTAGGAGCAGATTCTGTCTAGTCATAGTCAAGTATTTGTTTGCTGCAGTGTTGTCAGGATAATTTAAGAACTTCCTGGCAACTCTGCAGTTTCTTGTTTCATCTCATCTTTCCTTGAATTTCACAAGAGAATGCTCTTTGATTAGGTCTGTCACTAACGATTTTGTCATGCCAATAGAAGGGCCAGGTCCAAAAAGTATTTGGTTGGCTAGGCGCAGATTCTGTCTAGTCCTAGTATTTGTCTAGTATTTGTTTGCTGCAGTGTTGTCAGGATAACTTAAGAGCTCCCTGGCAACTTTGCAGTTTCTTGTTTCATCCCATCTTTCCTTGAATTTCACAAAAGAACGTTCTTTGAATAGGTCTGTCACTACCGATTTTGTCAGGCCAATAGAAGGGACAGGTCCAAAAAGTATTTGGTTGGCGGCTTTCTTGGCTAGTGAATCAGCAAGTTACCTTTCGAAGTGACGTAACCTTTGATCCATCTTAAGGTGACCACATTGTTGATGGATACTTCGGCCAAAGCTTCGTGACATTCTAGTACTAACCCTGAGTAAATTCGTGGTCTGTTCAGGGTGAGTAGTGCTTGTCTGCTATCTATATAGATGAGGATGTTCCTTCCAGTGATATTGTTTCTGGTTATTTCTTCTGCTGCTATGAGAATACTCGTTAGATCTGTTTGAACTACACTGGCACTATTGCTCACAGCCCATTTTATGTTTAGGTTTGAGAATTTGGAGTATATTCCACATTCCGCGTGTCACTGTCGTCAGAACAACCTCCTCGATGTAAATATCAAGGGGAGTGAGTATAAGAATGACTTTCATGGCCCTGGTCGGTGTTGTTTTTAATTTTTGGGTTTTCGGTACCCAGACAACTGCACCGTATGTTAGCATACGTCTTATGATAGCCGGGTAAGTCCATGCGACGACTCTGTGGGAGAAACCCCAGGTGCACCCCACTGTTCGGCGGCATTCTTGATAAGCAATGTATGCTCTTTTAACTCTATTTTCTAAATGCGAGTTTCATGTTAACTTGCTGTCAAAGGTGAGACCTAGGTACGTCACCTCTGTTGCAAAGTTTAGTTTTATGTTTAGGAGTTCTGGAGGTTTTAATTCTATTTTCATCATTTTCCTTGTGAAAAGGACCATTTCTGTCTTCTTAGGATTGACAGACAGTGAATGGTCCTTGCACCACTGTTCGATAATTCGTTCGCAGAGTATGTTTTCAAAATTCCCTGTTTGCAGAATAACCAGGTCATCTGTCGAGGTCGAGGACCATATTCCACAGTAGAGGTGATAGAACTCCCCCCTGTGGACATTCCCTCGCAACCAAGCCTCTTATATTCACATCTTCTACACTTATGTTTACTGCTCGCTTTGAGAGCATGTTATGTATCCACCCACTAACCATTTGTGAAATATTCCTGTTGGTTAGTGAGTGTATTATCTTTGGGAAGGTGGTTTTAGCAAAAGCACTTTCTATGTCTATGAAAACTCCCAAGGCAGACTCCTTATTGTCCAGGGATCTTTCTATCCGGCCAGCAACTAGATGAAGGGATGAATCAGTAGATCTGCCTGGGGTGTATGCATGTTGGTTTGGGTGTACTGGTGTTGTTGTAATCACCGTATCCCTTATGTACCTTTCGCATAGCATTTCCAATGTCTTCATGGAAAACGATGTCAGACTAATTGGTCGGTATGTTTTTGGGATAGTGTAATCCATCCTTCCAGGTTTGGGTATAAATATCACTTTTACCTCTCTATATTTTTTGGGGATATACCTCAAAGCCAACGAGGATCTGAATATACCGACCAGGTGCGGTGCGAGTTCTTCCGGACCCTACTGAAGTAGGGCTGAATAGATACCGTCAGGTCTTGGCGATTTAAATGGAGAAAAGCTGGATATTGCCCAT